ACTGCTATTTTCTACTGTTTCCTTGACATTTTGGCATAACTCTTGGGGGTGCTATGGAGGCAGGGTTAGGAGGGTATGGTTAACTCTGGTAGGTGGTATAGTAGAGGGGTGGTAGACAGTTTATATTACGTACCTGGAGAAGAATGTTAGATGAAGTTTTAGGAGGCAACTCAAAGAGTGGAATAGGAAGTGTTAGAGGAGGGAGAAAGAAAAGAAAAAGGAAACCGAAACAGAAGGGCTCAAATAGTGTCAATCTGAAGGCTAAAAGAAAGGGAATTAGATTAAAAAGTGCCTAGTTTGGCAATGACAGAGGAGTGGCTACTACTATTTGTGAGAAAAAAATAAAAAAAATAAGAGTGGCGTCAGCTTTTGGTTTCATGAAGATGAAAAGAGAAAAAAGAGGCAAAAGGGATAGGGAAAATAAAAGTTCAGATATTCAAATTAAAGAAGGAAAGGGCAAGAGATAAAAGCACTAACAATAAAAATAGGAAAGTAACATTAAAGCAAGAAACAAGAGCTATTACTATGTGTTTGTTTGGGCTCTGACCTTTTCCCAGGAATTTTGTCTCTGATGTGGGTGCTAACTTGGGGATTGATGAGTTGAGGAACTAGGAAAAGAAGTAAAGTAAAAGCAGTAAAGTAAAATAATGATATTTTGTTTCCTTACATAAACCAATAGATGTGGAAGTTGTGATTAAGGATCAATTATAGACACACTGCATGACATTATTCTAACGAGGGGAGAGGGTATAGGAACCACAATAGCAACAAACGAATTGATGGGGTCTAGACTTTGTCCTGGAGGGAAAGCAGGGCTGTGTGGAGCGAAGGTGTTTTGTGCAGTTGGGGGTAGTGTCTGGTACTATGTGTTTTCACTACCCTCTGATCATTTAGGATAGCAGGTTAGGGTTGAGATAAGGCTGGGAGAATGTTTGGGGGTTTGGTAGGGCTGAGAGTCCTCTATTAATATGATGTAGGTGAATTATCTTAAAGAAATAGATCTCTGGGGGATCAAGTCGGAGGGGACAGGGTTTGAGCAGTTTTTGGATGATGTAGGTGACAAAATGGGGGTGCAGAGTGGGGTGATAGAGCACAATCTAGGTGGTCTCTGAGGGAGGGAAGAAGCAATAGCCTACTTTAAGGACTGGTTGCTTATCTGAGAGGTTTGGGATGCTGATCAGGGGTTAATGTCATGGGACAGCGGCAGATTGCTCAGTTTATCCAGTACCTCAGCCAGGATAGGCCTCTGGGCCTTTGGCGCTTATTATGGTCCTTGGGTCAAGCACAAACTCTCTACCTTGCATTGTTATGCTAATACCTTGCTAATAGGCCAGATACATGTGTAGTTTGCTAACAAAGGAGTGGGGTCTGGGAAGAAAGCAAACGCTGGAGAGACCTTATCTTAAGACTGGTATGTTCAGAGCTATACCTTAGTATAGGGGTTAGTTTTACCCCATTGCTTCTGGAGCGCCCCTGGCTTGTCCGGAGATTTGACTTATTCACTATTTGTGCCTGCTGCACGCTGCTCTGTAGTTAGTCCCACCTTGCTCAGTAGGCTATCCCTGCTTTAGGGAACGTAGGGCTGCAAAATGATCAGAAGGAACTCCCTTGGCTTGGACCAAGAGCCAAACCTATTTGTGCTTCTATCTGCCCTAGGCTGGTCACACAGAGTTCCGTACCTGCAGTGTGACCGGACAGCTACCCTAACTAAGCTCAAGGACTAGGAAAAATCAGTTGGAAGAGTTGGGCAGCTGCAGTCCTGTGGCTTGTGCTGAGGGTCAATGACAAAAGGGACTCTATTAGCAGGTGTTTTAATACATTTGTGACGTCTGGAAATGTAAGATATCTTTCTTGTTGGTTCCTCTGTGTTGGTTTCTGCGAGTCCCTCCAGTGGGTGTTACTTGGTTGCCATCTTGCTCCCAAGTTTTCTCCAAGGCACACGGGCAGGATGGGTAGTCAGGAAACCCTTTCCTGATTTTAAACCATGTGTCTGTCCTCTTCAAACGACTGCCTTTTGGTCCAGGTCCAGGTTCTGCATGAGCGTAATGAAGTGTTCTGGCTTTCCCATTCTTTGCAATGTTATCCATAATGTATTATGATCCACAGAGCTGAATGCCTTAGTAAACATCTTTGCTTTTAACCAAGATGTAACTCACATCAGTAATGATATATGTTCTCTCACATCCTCTTCTGAATCTGGCCTGAATTTCTGGTAGCTCCTTATTGATATACTGTTGCAATCATTTTTTAAATTATACTCTGAAAATGGAGAAATAGTCATTGTCTGGTAATATGGCTTTGCCTGCTTAGCAATAAAGGAGAAAAGTGGTGTTACCAAAAGAATAAAGTTATAAGTGCTATTTGCACCAATGAGTAAAATTATATTGGGGCATTCTTCAGGAAAAATAGAAGTGATTAGCCTGTTTGCACAATTTTCATGTTTAATTGTTCAAGCTGCCAACTTCCCATATTTTTGCATACAACTTTATATTATTCCAGTATCTTTCTTTTGACCACTTAAACTTCAGGGAAAGAAACTGAAATATTTGACTAATATGTTGTACCCTCCCTTTCAGATATTTTTTAGTCAATTTCAAATATTGTAGGAAAGAAGAAAACAATCATTTTCAGCAGTTAGTCTATTTTTGCAAGGATCCCCTCTCCAATTAGTCCCTGTGCAATGCAACCTTTTGACTATGCAGGCATTTTTGACATTACTGCTGTCTCAGCAAAACGCATCACCCTGCTCTCATGCACCCCAGGGGTCAAGGCTTTCAGGCATTTGACCCCCTTATTCAGCGCCCTTTCCAGCTGCACTGCTTGTCAAACTTGTTTGTCCTCCTTTTCAAACCCCTTGCTGGTGCTTGTGCTTTGTTTAAAGATCTAGTCCTCTTGCACTGACAAGACAAAATCCTATTTTTCTACCATGCGTTTGCTTTGCCTTAGCTATTCTTTTCTACTAGGGATAATGATTTCCTCCACACTCAACACACACATCCATTTTATTCACTACCAATCATCCCTTACCCCCACACATACATTCATACCTGATAACTAGATGCATAAATGGAGACATCAGGCCTCACTAAACTTCAGGGTAAGGAGGGAAAAATAAAGAACATTAGCACAAAGCCGATTTCTGAGGTTGAGGTCAGATCAACTCCACTGATCGTTTTACCAATTCTGAACTTGGCTATCCATCCTACAGAACATTTACTTCTCTGCTGTGGCCAAGAATTCACTGCAATAGCTACACTGGTTTTATAGCCCATACTCACAATTAAAGGTTTTATTAGGAAAGTAATAGGTTACAATAACTCAAGGTTGGGAAACATTTGGAAGTAAGAACGACTCAAGGTTGTTCCTCTACGTCTCTCCATGCTCGTCTGGTTTCTTGTCTTCTACCCTTCGTCCTGGGCCTCTTGCTCTTGCTGTGGGTCCTTGCTCTTGGCCTGGGTCTTTCACTCTTGGCTTGGATCTAAAGCATTCTCAACACAGGGATGCGTGGTCTAAAAGGAACACTCTACTCCCAGCGCTCCTTGATAGTGAGCCCCACCTCCAATTACTGATCTTGCTGTTGTCTCCCTTAAAGTCTAGTGGAATGGTAGAACTGACCAATCTTCCACAAGTCTCCTTGCAGCTATCCTTATTGCCCCACCCTTGTAAAAGTTACATGCACTTTATTTGCATTACTAGCCTATCCAATAACCGTGCTAGATCACAAGTCCCTTATCTGCAGTCTCATCCAATCATTTCGTGGGTTATAAATCATATGCAGAATGGTTAAATAATGCCACTTCATTGCACTTTACTAGTTCTACCAAACCACAGGAAAATTTGCATTATAAAACTTTTATCTTCAATTAATTACTAAGTGATTTGTTTTATAAAATATTTTTACCTAATATTTTTCTGAATCTTCAGAAGCAACACAGTTGTCAGACTGGCTGTCTGTTGTTGAGATTTAACCCATTTGGCTTATTATGCCTACTCCCCTTTCTTATTGTCTCTCCTTCTATTTGGCTCTCTCTACACCCAAATCTTTTAGGTAGACCTTTGAAAGACCTGCAGTCACTGCCATAGAGTTGATGATTTAGTGGCCCTATAGGGTAGCTCGGGGGCTGGCTATGAATGGGCTGTGATGTGTGGGCAGTCTGAAACCCCCAGCAGCTCCTGGAAAGACAAAGGCAGGGCTTTCTTCTCCCACCAACAGGGACAGTCTTGGAAACCTACAGCTGGGTCACTATGAGTCAGCATTGACTCAATGGCAGTAATTTGGTTTGGGACGTTTGGTTTGAAAGATCTAATTTTTCATCTCAATGAAATATGTAGGCTTATAATCTTTCTCTGAACAGTAAATTAGTAAAAATTTAAAAATGCAAATACTAGAAAATATAAAGATATAGCACACATGTATATACATAACTGAAGGCAAAACATTATATATTATATATTAAGGGATTTCAAAACTTCAGGGACAAATTGAATTAAAAGGTAATAGCATTGTTCTAAGAGCTTTTTGAAGGTCTATCGTATATGCATGCACCCTGGTGACATCATAGTTCATTTTTGAATGCTAACTAAAAGGTAGATGGTTTAAATCCACCAGCTATTCCATGAGAGAAACATTTGGCAGTTTACTTGCGCAGATTTACAGCTTTGAAACCCTATGAGGCAGTTCTATTGTTTTGTAGGATCAAGATATGTTGGAATTTGAGTCAACTGCATTGGGTTTTAATATATGTGTATGTGTACATATCAATCTTAGTGTGTATATACATATTTGACTCAAACCCATACATTTAAGATTCAAATACAAATTTGAAGTTTTCTAAATGTTTTTTCTAAATTTTTTAAGTTTTACCTACTTTACAACAAGTTTTATCTAAAAAAAACAAGCTTTTACCTACAAAAAACAAGTTTTACCTACTTTAAAATAAGCCCCAAACTTAATGTTTTTCATTTTAAAAATATAAAGAAACATAAAACACACAAGAGAAAATGGTTAAATATTTTAATATACTGCTACATTCATTTCCATTAAAATGCATTAAGGCATTTAAACTTCAACCATTTATTGAATTGGCTATTTCTTCTATATAGTACAACCTCTCAGAATTTGGCAATTTATGAATTGTTATAACAGTAATTTATTTAGATACTGATTCATAGGATTATATCTTCAGAACTAAATTTACACTACATTTTACTGATAATTTATCTTTTACTTTCTTTTTCCAGTATTAAAAGAGCTCGTGTGGCAGGGTGGTTAAGTGCTCATCTACTAACCTATAGGTGGGCAGTTGAACCCACCTGTGGCTCCACAGAAAAGGGATGCCTTCATAAAGTTTCATAGCCTTAGCAACCCTCCAGGGAAGTTCTACTCATCCTACAGGCCCTGGGTCTCTGAGTCAGAATCCACTCATCATCAAAGATTTGGCTTGGTTTTGGTTAATATTATGGAAACCTGGATTTTACAAGCGTAATTTTATAATTTTAAGTATTAAAAGTACATCTGGAGTAAAACTGAACCTCAAGCCATTCTAGTCCATTGCTATAAGATCAATTATACTTTACAGTCATTATACTTTGCAATAGATTCATTATACTTTACAGTAATTAAGGCCTGTTATTTTCTATATACTTAAATAGTTCAAATGCTATTAAGCACTGGTTGTCCTGTGTATTAATTTGGTTATAGTCTTGATATAAATAATCACATTTCATTAGTAAAATAATAGCTTATATTATATAAATATTAAATACCTAACATTTTAATGAACAAAATTTGTTGAATTGAATTTATTCTATCATCCCCACTTTTAATTTATTCTAAACATGTTTGTAGTGAGTTTCTAGTACTTATTGTAAGAAGAATCCTGAACTGGTTTAGACAGTACAGGCTTTTATAATTAATTAGCTGTATAACTTTCACCAATTAATGAAATTAACTTTTGAGACTTCCTTCGCTCATCTATAAGATGAGGACCAGGAAGTACATATATTACTAAATCTCTTCCAGTTCTAACATATAGCAATATAGAATCAAACTAAATACATGTTTTCATTTATAAGCTACTTTCTAAAAATCTATTAAAAATACTTTGTAAAATTTGAGTTCCTATGTTGCAAAATTGTGAATTATTTTCTCTACAGACTTACTGATTAAGCTCTAAAATGTACTTACTTAATAAAAGCATCTTAGAATTTGTTGAAGTAAGTTCAAAACCAAGGCAGTGTATGAGTATAATTAATACTGTTGAAAATTATATAATTTTTCCACATTCTTCTGACAAAATTACTTAAAGCCAATGTTGTCATTAAATATGTAAATCTTTCTGGGATTTATTTATATCTGACCTTGGTAAAGAATTCCTTTCAAATACATTTTATCTCAGTGAAAAAAACAGAGACTGTTTTACAAACAAATTGGAATATAACTTAAGGGAAAGAGATTAACTTTTTACTTTATAGAAGCAACTTCAATCTAGTGGTAGGTTCTACTTAAAGATTGTCTTGTATATAAAAGTGTGGTTTTCTGATCCAGTAGATTTAATTATTAAAATAGATTATTTTAAATAATGGTCACATTTCAGTAGTAACAACAATATACCACTACCATCACTAGAACAAAGGAACCAGGAGGAAAGGATGTGTGGGAATGTGATGAGAACATGAGCAAAAATCTGTTAAAAGTTTTCTATGGTAATGAAAAGCTTTCAAATCAATACAATCTCTAAATTCATTATACCGATTATGGCTCGCACATCAACTACAGAACTGTAGTGATTGGACTAATGCTTACAAATAACACTAGGAAACTGACTGAAATTTAGATGTGTTCCTATTCCTACAACACACTCCTTCAAACCAACTTTCGTTTTAGATATGTGGTTTTATGAGATAAGAGCATGAATCACAACCCAAACACCAGTTATTCTCCTTTCGAGGAGGTGGACCCAAGTGTAACACAACCTAAAGTGCCATTAAGTCTATAAGAATATGAATTCTGAGATCAAGAAGGAATAAAACATTTTATAGACCCAGCATAATATTTTGTGTTGTGACCCTCTAGGAACACTCAATATTTCTACCTTCATTTAAGGACCAGGTGGTAACTAGAAATAGAACAATATTTAAACAGAGCTTCATTCTTTAATTCAGAGATTGGCATTCATTCCTATCCAGTGTTTGATTAACTGATGTGCAATCGCTCGGCTGGGTGGCACGAAGAAGGCCTGGTGCTTCCCTTTGGTCAGGACGTCCACGACCTAAAAGGCATCAGAGCCAGACGGGTTACGACTTCATCACTTCCACATTTAAACATAGCCCCATGCTTATGCAATTCACACACAATACAAATGGTTTTATAGTGAATAATAACCATAGAGAGTGATTACATTTTTAATATGTATAGTATTTTTTACTGGTATCAATAAGTTAATGATGCAATTTTTAAAATGATCTAGAAAATGAAGTCAACAGCAAGCAAAATAGATATACAAACTTAATTTCAAAGCAAAACTCTACTTTGGGGACATATAAAAATCTAATTTTTATTTTGGGCATTAGATACAAAATAAAGTTAAATTTATTTAGGCAAAGTCAGTAAGGATTTCAGGGTCTACTATGCAAATATAGATAAGTAATTTATTTCTCATTATGTTTTTTTGAATGGTATTTTAAAATATTTCTTAGTGTATGTGGGTTATACAGTTATAACCTTCTTGTCCTTAAGTACATTGTAAATGAGTAAGAAGTTTTAAAAGAAACAAGCATTTTTTAGTGATTTTTTTAGAAGTACTAATTTTAATGTGACAAGCTCAAACACAAAATGTCCAGCAATGTTCATTCTCATCACTGAAGTAACGTTTACCTATTTTAAACACATTGAATGGCATTATCACGGATCTGAAGGAATGGCATTTTGGAATTAGAAAATAGTCCAGGAGCATCGTTACTAAATGAATCTCAGAAAATGAGTGAATAGAGGATGTACACATGTAAGTTCAAAATCACATAAAACAAATTTATTATAAACAATTATTTTCCTCTAGATGACTGGTGACAAACATGAAAAATGATGCCTATAGAAAACATCTTTTCTTTGTCTATGAAAACAACAATGATATGGTAATACCTGGATGATGGGAGGTTCATGGCCATTCATTCAAATCGCTGAAAATATGAATCCGTGCTGCATGCCTAAACTGACACAGTCAAAGAGCAATCAATAAAAGAAGGAAATGTAGTTGAACTTTACCTGTTCTCTAGTGAACCAGCGGGCATCCTCTATTTCATTCTTGTCAACTTTAATTTCTGTAGACACCGCCACAGCTAAGCAACCAATCATTAAGGAGGAGGGCATTGGCCATGGCTGACAAGAGACATACTGAACATGGCCAACTTTCACTCCACTTTCCTCTTCTACTTCTCTTCTAACAGCATCTTCTATTGTCTCCCCTAATCAAAAAGGGCAAAAGGACAGGTAGCTAATGAACATGCCCGGGACATTTTACACTCTGAGCGGTTCAAATGTTTGGAAATTAATTTGGACAGGTACACAATTCAAAGAAATGGAAAGCAAAGCCTAAAGCTAGATTAGAATTCAAGAAAACACGTTTTTTTGGTTTTAAGTGGATGACGGCATACTGATAATCACAATGTCAATAGGTCACTTTTCCTTTCTTTAAGGCTCAAATTTGTCAATTACTTTAAAAATTAAAAGTACTGTCTCAAACTACCTAGCACCCACTATTAACAAAGTACTGTATTAAGTACTTATATATTATCTTATTTATGTACTATAAAATGTTATACATTTTCATTGCATAATTATTACAAATGGCGAATACACATGAAAAATCTAAACTTTTTTATTATGCAATAAAGCAGTTACTGGAGGTAATTCTTTTCAGGTCAATAGAAGTTCAAAAATCACATAAAACAAAATTCAATTTTTTTATTGTAAACAGTTATTTTCCTCTAGATGACTGTTGACTTAAACATGAAAAATGATGCTTATAAATGTATTTTATATTTCTGATTCATTGGACTTGAAAATTAAAATAGAAGTAATAGTTTCTCAGTGTATCTGGAATATTGTACGTTCAGAAATATTGTATTATTAAAATATAACTTCCTAGTTCTAAAAGAGTGATAAATTTCTTATCCTAACATGAAGAGCATCTGTTCATCGGGAAAAACATATATAGTGGATAAAGTACATACTAACAAAAGTTATTTACAAGCCCATAGGTAATGCAAAATTACCATATAACACAGATACAGAACTCATACAATCAAATAGAGAGACAAACCACTAACAGGAAAATAGGCAAAGGATCTCAAGTTGCAAAATTAAGAGAAAAGTTGCTTGAAGCCTAATACATAACTGAAAAGGATCCTCCCTCAGCAGCTCCACTCTATCAAATAAAAATCTTAATGATATTTCATACTCTTCACACTGGGAAATTAAAAAGTATGAAACTCCTAACTTGGTAATGACACACACATTGAGCTGCTACCTTCAAGTGAGTAGTTCAAAACCACCAGTGGCTTCAAGGGAGAAAGAAGAGGCATTCCACTCCCATAGAGAGTTACCTACAGGGTGGCTATGAGTCAGAATGGACTCGACGACAGTGGGTTCAGCTTGGGATAAATACTGCTGGGGGAGTGTAACTGGCAACAGTACCTCAGAGAGCAAGCTGACAATCTCTAGGAAAGGTTAAGAGCTTACATCCTATAAGCTAGCAATTTTACCCTTGTGTATATGACCTTAACAACTCCCACACAAGTATAATATTAGGAAGAATCTTAAAATAAAGGAAATGTCCATTATCAGAATGGATGCATAAATGGATTGTAGTCTATTAATAAAATGGCTACAAAAGGGTTAAAATGAGTTACTAGAGGCAGCACAGTGATTAAGAGGAGACTTAGCAGCCAGACTACTCCATCCTGGATATTTTGGGCAAGTTATTTAGTTCCTAGTAATCCCTGCAATTCTCACTGCTACTAAATGGATCCTAAATACCACAACTTCCTATTAATTTAGGTGAGCTTTATCCCTTCAACTGATGTCTCAGATTTGTTTGGAAAGTAGACGTCAAATGAAAATTATCAATAAAAGACTTACCAGGTTCAACAAATCCAGCAAGGCAAGTAAACATGTCTGGGGGAAATCTTTTCTGTCTGCCTAAAAGACATTTGGTTCCATCTGGATGAATAACTTGCATGATCACTACAGGATCTGTTGGGTGAAAACGAAAACAAAAACAAACCAATATTCAAATTACAGGAAAAAATTAATGCAGACTTTTGAAAACACTCCATTTTATAGAATAACAGCAAGGTCTCTGCTGTGGGATTAAGACTTAGTTTGTCATAAGATTGTTTCTTTCTCCCATGTTGCATCTGAGGGAAACTGCATGGAATTCTGTCAGTAAACTACTGGAAGAACATGTCTGCCCTCCTTTCTCCATTTTAACAGCAACATATATTGTAGCCATGGAATGCCAGGCATAGTCTTGTATTTTTTAATTTAAAAAGAAATTGGGTAGGTAATAAATCCCACATGGAGAAAATTCAAATTTTACCATAGTTATTACATTTCCACCTTTTTCTTCATCAATCCTTAAGGAAATGTCTTTAAAAGCTAATGTGGCCCAATGCTTAAACTTGCTTTAGCCATCATAATTAAAAATAAACAAGTAAATAAATAAATGAGTTAATCCCTCTAGAAATCCAGTGCATTCTACTCACTAGATCATGATTGATCGTCAAGAATTAAAGGTAAAATGCTTTCTGCAGCTAAAACGGACATTACTCAGCCTTGCACTTTACTCCCAAGAGACCAACTGAAGTGTTGCTAAGTCTCTTCTTTTTTCACACCGTTTTAGCTGGTTGTGTTCTCAGCTGTCCAAACCCAGGGCAGATTCAAAGTGGCACTTAGAAGAAAGGGAAGGTAGAGCAGATGTGAGCTGCAGTGTGAAGCTAGCTGCGGGCTGTCATGCTTTGGTGATGCCTACACCAGGCACCGAATTGTGAGGCTCTTTTGCCTTTCCACTACTTAAGACAGATTAGTGGGCATTTTGAAATAGCATATTCCAAAACATCAGGTTTCTATTGATTAACCCTGATTTAACATGCGGCTATTACATATTTCTTTTACCTAGAAAGCCAAGTAAACATGTCATTTTAAGATATTTTAACTATTTATAAAACTATTTTACTGGTTAACTGGTTAAAATATTGATCACATTATTGGTTAACTTAAACATTTTTTTTTAAGGTAAACCTAAAAACGTGTCTTTCCAGAGTTCCTCAAAACTTGCCTTTGGGGAGCATTCCCCAAGATTCCGGATGCCTGAGATTTCACTGTAAAAGTGAAGGCTTACCAACTCTTGGGTATGATGTGTTGTGAACGCCCTGGAGGCTCGGGCAGTTTTCTTTTAAACACACTCTTTTATAGCCACCTTCTTCGATTTTCGTTGCACTTCCACAAGTTGGGCAGAACTTATATCGACTGTGCCAGGCAAGGACAGATCTTGCTTGAGCAACTACTCCTTTAAAAGAGGGGGCAAGAAAAAAATTAATTCTGTAACAACTGTAAGGAAAAACAAAGTAAAATGTTCTTGGGCATGCACTGTTTTCTGGGTATCTGTGTGATTGAGGGTTTTAGTATTCAGATTTTATGAAGTGTACTCCTATTTTAAAGCAAAAGTTTTAATTTTCCAGGTGACAAATGAAAATTATATTTAGCTTTAAAAAAATTAACTCATGTATTTATCTCAAAAGGTTGGTGTACCAATATCCATCTTACATAATTTATTAGAACAGGCCTTTACTACTAATAATTTTTATAATGGGGGTATAAACAATTCTAGCTCATTTGGCTCTTATAAAGAATACCACAAAAGAGGTACTTGACTTAAGACTTGGGATTTCTGTATTTCCCACCAAACACAATCTTACTAAAAAACTGTAGAAATTCCACTTCACTGTCTTTCTTGGTGACTAAACTACTATTGAATCATGCCATTGTAGAACATAACCTGTTTACAACAGAAGACTCTATATAGTATTAAAAATGCTTCACTTAACATATTTACAGTTAATTACACTGATGAAAAATACTACCAGAATATTAGAAGTGTATGAATATGTGTATGCGAATATGTGTGTGAAGTTCTTTGTTTACTTAACATAAATCAGATCATAATTCAGTATTTAGTAACACACAGAATAAAATTGTAACTTTTCCCCTTGGTCTCCAAGGTATTACATGAACTGAGCACAGCCAGCAACAGAAAGTCTAAATCAAGACCTTGGCCATCATGCCAGTGTCAGAAGTAATCAGGAATGATTCGGACAGCAACTGAGGGAAACCAGCAAGCATCAGGGCCGTTCTGGGGAAACTAGTCTTGGCTGATTAAAGCTGCTCTAATTGTTCAGGAGGGTCTTGCCTGAGGATGAGAATTCTAAGAAATTCTTAGTGAAGATGGTCTCATTTCACTACACAGTGAATAAAAGCATGCCTCCTGAACGGGTAGAAACAGACAGCGCCAACCCAGTTCCAAAGAACAGACTAGTATCAAAAGTGTAAGTGCCATTCGCTTCTTACCAGCTTCCTTTTCCTTTAGTTGTAGAAGTGCTGGCATGGGAGGATGCAGAAAGTAACAATTTTCATGCCTTTGCTTAAATTCTTCAGCAGCCATAGGATCAATACCTAGAGCAAACCAAGCGACCAACCCATCTTCCTCTTCTTTTGGGAGTTCCCCAGCATAATTCAGTAACTCTTTTCTTATTTCAAGTTCTACTCCAAGGAAAATTAAGGTGATCTTCTCAGGATGGATCAAATAATCCTTTATGTCTGTGTGGTTCAGTTGGCAGAGCCTGACTTCTGGCTGTTGGAAACGTTCTTTATTGCCGCCGAGAGTAACTAAAGGATTTAAATCCGAGAAAAGGATATAAACTGTGGTGGGATGGCTTTCCTTAGCTAGCAGCCACTCAGAATCATTTCTTTTTTCACTTTTCCGGTCCAGTAGTGTGCTGCTAAAATAATTCTCACATTCTTCCACTTCATTGGTTAAGAACCAAGGCTTCTTTCCACCTTTAGCATTAGCTAATAAGTTAGCTATATGTTTATAACCCCAAAATTTAGCAATATCCAGTGCAGTCTGCTTTGATTTATTGACAATCGACCTGTCACACCTACCGATAAAAGGAAAAATTGGAGAAGAAAAATGAGATACTAAGTAAATATTTTCTCTAGCAAATATTTCAATAACATATTTTGATATGCACTCTATTGTTGTTAGGCGCCACTGAGTCGGTTCCAACCCATAGCGATCCTGTGAACATGGTAAGCTCCTCTAGTTAATGGTACTATGGTGAAAGACTGGACGTCTAGTCCTGACAGATCACAGTCAGTGCAACGTCCTACGGAGCAAAATTCTACTCTCAGACACCTGGGGTTGCTATGAGCTAAGATCAACTCAACAAGTAACTGCAATAACAATTTCTTTCAGGAGTACACATTTTACTATAGTCAAGATCAAAAGAAATCAGTTTTCAGGGGAATAAGTTATAAGATAAAAAAGTAAGTTTTATGTGCTATAAGTTCTTAAAGTTGTGCAAAGGATCCTTGATAGTTGTGGTGTGCAGATTTACATTCTCTATTTGGGGGAGAGAGATTCAACTAATCCACAAATTTGCTTTGTTATTATGCATGAATGGCTAATTTCTCAAGAAAAGATGTTAAAGTTTTTTTTAGGTAGAAACTACGCTATATTTTTATGTAACAAGCTAGTCAATGCATCATTTACTAGCTCAAGGATATAAGCGTAGTTACTAAAAAAATGTTTAAAGGGAATATATAACAGAAATTAAACTGTTTACCCTTTCTCAAGTAGAAACTGGACGACATCCGGGTGCCCATTCCTTGCCGCATACATCAAGGCTGTCCAGCCAGTTTCAGACGTTTCGTTGAGGAGAGATGGAGAATGACTGAGTACGACCGTTAACTTGGCAATGTCGCCTTCAGCTGCCCAACAGTGAAACTGGGAAATTATTTCCTTCTTTGGATTTCTTTTTATTGAAGACATTTCCCCCTTCAAAAATGGAAAATAGAAAAAAAATCACCTGCATTTCCTTTTTATATCAATGGATAAATATTACAATAGTACTATGATACTTGAAGACTACAGAATTTAGCCTGAAGAGTCATTAACAACCTGTGATGTGCAGATGTCACAACCTTACTTGCTGGAAGCAAAGAGGACATGAAATACTTATTGATGAATATCAAAGAACTGATGGATGTCATACAGTCTTCAGTATGGGTTACACAACATCAAACAAAAAGATCCTCTCAACTGGGTCAGTAAACAATATCATGATAAAGGGTGAAAATATTTAAGTTGTCAAGAATTTCCTTTTATTTTGACCCACAACCAACATCTATGGAAGCCCCAATCTAGAAATCAAATAATATATTTTCATTTGGCAAACTTGCTGCAAAAGATTTCTTTAAAGGGCTTAAAAGCAAAAATGTAGAAGACTAAGGTGTATCTGACCTAAGTCAAGACGTTTTGAATCACTATATGCATGCAAAAGCTGGACAATGAATAGGAAAGACCAAAGATGAATTGATACCTTTGGATCATGGTGTTGATAAGAATATTAGAGATTTCACAGACTGCCAAAAGAACCCAAAAATCTGTGTTGGAAGAAGTACAGCCTGAAGGTTCTTTAGAAGTGAGAATGGTGCAAACTTACTTTTACATACTTGGAATATGTTATTATCAGGACAGACCAGTCCCTGGAGGAAAATATCATGCTTGGCAGAGGATCAATGAAAAAGACAAAGACCCTCAATGAAATGGACTGATACAGTGGCTGTAATAATGAACTCCAACACAGGAATGATTGGGAGGATGGTGCAGGACCCAGAAATGTTTCATTTGAGAGTCAGAACCTATTCAACGGCAGCTAACAGTAACAACTGCTAAACATAAGAATAGTAATGATTCTCCAATGCAAAGGTTATTATATTCTTTAAAGGTTATTACCAGTGAACAACCATCATAGCAGACATTTCGAAATTGTTACCACATGAGCATTATGAATATGCTTCAACAGCCCCCAAAACTTTGGCCAACTAGTCCATTCTGATTCATGACCCCATTGGGCAAGGTAGACCCGCCCTTGTGGGTTTCCGAGACGGGAAATCCTTATGAGAGAAAGCTTCATCTTTCTTCTGGAGAAAGGCTTGTGGTTTTGAACCGCTGATATTGTGGTTTGGAGAACAGCAAACACATAACCCATTATGCCAGCAGAGCTCCCACATATTTCAACATGTTGTTAGCACCATCAAGTCAGCTCTGAACCACAGTGACTCTATACACAACTCAAGGTTACAAAAAAAATGATGCAATGGAGATTTGGGTAATACAAATAAGGGGGCGATATTCTTGGAGATGGAGTTGTCAGGTAAGATGTTACACACATGGGGGGGGGGCGTATTTCAGGCAGACCAAAAGGGGCTTTATTATAGAGCAGAAGAAGACTTAAGACAGCCTAGGTTTTTAGCTGCGGACAAGTAGTATTATTTGATATCATGCTATTAGGGATAGATATCAATCACCAGATTTTCAAGTTTCACATGAAAATAATTGTGCAAAATTAATTGTGCAATTCATCTAAGATTACCTTTTGTTCCTAATGTGAAATGGGGATTGTTACTATTGTGCATCACTGAGTTGATTCTGTGCCTAGCAGCCCTGTACATTAGAGTAGAACAGAGCCCGTTTCCAAGGCTGCTCTCATTATGGAAGCGGATCGCCACATCCTTCTCCCATGAACACCTGGTCGGCGGAACCACTGGGTTGGTAACCACTGTACCACCAGGGCTCCTTGAAGTAGGGAAGGGATCTATTTTTTTATCCATGGGACTCAGCATCATTCTTGTTATGACCTGTCTCCCTTCAGTGCATTATTATCCTAATTTTAAAAATCCCAAAAAACTCACTGCCAACAAGTCAATTCCAACTCATAGCAACCCTATCAAACAGAGGTGAACCACCCTTGCCAGTTTCCCAGACTGTAACTTGGTACGTGAGTAGAAAGCAATCTCTCTCTCTCACCGAGCAACTGCTGGGTTTGAACTGGTGGTTAGCAGCCCAACATGTAAGCCATCCTGCCACAGGGGCTCCTCTGCTAAGTAAGATGATGACATATATTCGATCTATTACTGGACTCTGTTCTATACAGGAGATCCCAAATCCATCATCGCTTATTTGTAAGAATCATAATATAGTACAGTGAGACAGGGATCCTGGTGGCACAACTGGGTGAACCTAGGTTTCAAAGCCAGCTGCCTCTCTGGGGACCAACATGCGACCGTCTATTCCAGTACACATGTACAGCCTCGGAAACCATTTATGGGGTCACTAAGACTCACAATTGGCTTACTGGCGGTGGGCTTTTTTGCCCTATTGCCTATGCTTAAATTGGAACTTTTTTAATCATTAATGTTCTGTTTGTTTCAGTAAGAAAAAACAAAAAGAAAACAATTCCCCATACCTATTTCGAAACCTTTTTCTAATCATGGATTGAGTACGGTAGGGTACAGACTGAACTATTTTTTATAGAAATAGTTCAAATGACCATTGTCTATAAACTTGTCAAAGTATTTTGTTGTAAAGCAAGGCTTTTTCCTTCCCTATAAAATGAAAACATTCATCTATTAAGAAAATATCTGGAATTATAAAATAATTATTATTTTAAGTAATAAGTTATTTAGGTTCAAAAGAAAAGATTCTAAGATACTTTTTGACAGTTGTATGGTTCTGAAACGCCAACCCGGATAACCTATTTTGGCAGTTGGAGGAATATGAATAAAGCCTTCTTGGGGAAAAATTGAGATTAAAAAAAGATAATGATTCGGTATCTGTTCACCTTTCCTGTTTTTCTGCTTCTAAAAATACGTCAAAGCTGCTCACAGGAAGGAAGCATTTACATAAAACCTTAAAATAGGAAATTTGCTTATAATTTAAACTTAGGCTTTCTATACTGGAAAACCACTCGTTTTTATTTACTCTATAAAAGTATTATGAATAACAAAAACTTTACAGCACTTTATTCTGGCTGAAGCACAGTTGTCTAACGACACTTGTATGGTGCCCTTCCAAGTTACCTTTCCTTCAATCTACTTTTTTCTTCCCATAAAATCCTATTCCACAATTTATTCGTGAACAAGAATTCACTGCCCCACATTTCGAGGTCATAGGACATCCTCACTCTATCCCAAGATATTGCAAAACAGTTGTACAAAAAAATATAGTGCCATGCATTGCTTTGATGAAATACCACTTACTCCTAGTACTCTTATGAGAAAGGAAGTGGGAAGTGTAAACTTTAAATAAAAAGCAACTATTGCTCATTCCAAAGAGACGCTCTTTAGAGTCTGAGATTCGGCTGTTTGGTTTACTTTTCCATTTCGTATTGACAGTCAAGTCTTGGAATAAGGTAGGATCTGAAAGCAGGTGGCGGTGATTGGGTCGGTTTATTGCTGCCCGTGCTTTCCACAAAGAGCAGGAGGAGGTCACTTAAAATGGGTTTACAACGGATTACATTTTAACCAACTCCACAAACGGAAACTGGTGTAAAAGAGGCCCGTAACTTGCCAAAGGCCAAACGGCGTGCGAGGGGGTAGTCGGAGACCTCAAACCTAGCTGTCACCGAGTGGCCGACCATCATGTAATGTCACACCCTGGTCCCCCGGCCAAGAAGTCCGATTAACCAACCAAGGTGCACTCGTGCACGTTCTTCCCAAACGGTCAAAACTCCTTGAGATTTCGCATTTTCTTGCCACCACTAGGCGAGTCCTTCTTTCCACGTGAAGCCCATCAGAGGGACTCCCCGCTCCAGTTTCATAGCTTGGGCGAAAGTCCAGCGGCAGTGAGGACTCCGGCGACCCGAGCGCGGGGCGCTGGGCGCCCTGGCCGCGGCTCCCGCGCGCGCGCACGCCGCCCCC